TGTGAAGGCTGGGAAAGAGCACTTGGGAGGCCAAGAGGAAGGAGGTGGAAGCCACAGCTAATACACAGGACTCAGAAGTGAAAACTCAGGCAAGGGAGGCTGAAGGTGGTGAAACTCCCACATTTTTCTCCCTTTTTCTTTGTGAAGGACAGTGAATAATTCTGCAGGGAATACCCTCAATTGGAAAGACTAATATACTTTTCAAATAGAGTAGCATATTTCTATAAAGGTGGATATTACAAGACTATAATAACATGGTCCAGAAACTTGATTCTAGAATGGCATATAAGGGGGCAATTGTTTTGGTATAGGGGCTAAGAAACCACTTGGGTTTACCCATTGCAAATGAGAGTCCCAGCTTGCTTCTGACTCCAACTTCCTGCTGATGTACACTCTGGGAAGCAGCAGTGATGGCTGAAGGACTTGGGAGCCTGTCACCCAACAGGGAGATCAGGATTGAGTTCACCACTCTTTGTGTTAGTCAACAGGGGGTGGAGAATCAATACGGCTCTCTCTCCCCTTCAGCTCAATAATTTTAAGCAATGTTTATGAAATATAAGAATAGAACTTGAAAATGCAAATGACTAATGTCACTGTTGGATGAGGTCTTTTAAGTACAGATGTCTTGGGCCCAGCATGGTAGTCTAGTGGCTAAAGTCCTTGCTTGCATGCACTGGCATACCATATGGGTACTGTTTTGTATCCAGGCTGCTCCACTTCGCATACAGCTTCCTGCTTATGGCCTGGAAAAGCTGTAGAATACAGCCCAGGACTTTGGAACCCTGCCCCCATGTGGGAGACTCAGAAAAAGCTCCTGGCTCCTGGCTTCGTATTGGCTTAGCTCCCGCTGTTGCAGCCACTTTTGGAGTGAACAAGTGGATAGAAATTTTTCTGTCTCTCCTTCTGTCTATAAATCTGACTTTCCAATAAAAATAAATAAATCCCAGAAAAAAATATTAGCTTCTTTAAAAAAAAAGTACAGATGTCACATTGCTTTCAACTCTATCTTCTAGTCTGGAATCTTAAAAGGACCTTATCTAGTAGCTCCTTGCTGTTTCATCGCTCCAGGGGCTCTAACTGCTCTTGAGCAAACTGCTGCCAGTAACTTGGATTGCTTCATTAGATGGTCACTGAGATCTCAAGATTTTTTTTTCTTAAGTTTTTAATTTCAATACCTAGATTCATGATCTTAATCTAGCCTATTGAACCCCATGGGGTTCCTAGGCCCTGTCACACAATTTTGTAAAATCCTAAGATAGCAATTTTGCTATACAGAAACTTAGTGTTAAATTAGCAAACTGGAAAGTCTGTATTTCAGATCATTGGTAAAAAATATTGCAGTAATAACATTTTAAAAAATATTTATTTTTATTGGAAAGTCAGAGAGGAGAGACAGAGAAGGAAGATCACTGCTCCCCAAGTGACCACAATGGCCGGAGTTGAGCCGATTCAAAGCCGGGGGCCAGGAGCATCTCCTCAGGGTCTCCCACGTGGGTGCAGGGTCCCAAGGCTTTGGGCCATCCCACACTGCTTTTCTAGGCCACAAGCAGGAAGCTGGATGGGAAGTAGAGCTGCCAGGATTAGAATCGGCGCCCATATGGATTCCTGGCATATTCAAGGTGAGGACAACTGTTAGGATACTGTGCCAGGCCCTATTTCTTTATAAAATAGATCTTGTGTAAGTCAGTTGTCTCATTGTAATAAAATATTCACTTTTAGACTTTATTCTTGAACAAATCAAAATTTGCCAAAATCATAATAGTTTCTGTCACCAAAGGGGACTCATATCTCACCATTAACCCTTCTGAATGTTTTAGTTCACTTTATCTTTGTTTGCCACAGCCTGCAAACTCCTTGAACTTCCCACCCTCTGAGGTTCTCCACTCTTTCCAGGGCATATGCCACTAATCTATGGCAATGAGCAAGGTTTTCAGTCATTCCTACCACTGTGTTCCCACGTCCTATTAAGACCTTCTCCCTCCTGTTTCTCTGTCCTGCCCAGCTGGAGAGGGCTGCATCTCTTGAGTTATCTTTATTTATTTTAAAGAAATTTATTTATTTTTTTTTCTGAAAGAATTGCAGAGAGAGAAAGAGAAGCAGAGAGAGAGAGACAGGAACAGAGACAGATATCTTTAATCCAGATGGTTTTGATGACTAGTACTGGGCCATGCTGAAGCCATGAGTTAGGAGTTTCATTAGTGTCTCCCATGTTGTTTTTCCCTGTTCGTAGCAGTGTGCTGGATCAGAAATGGAGCAGGTGGAACATGAAAAGGCACATATTTGATTTGCTGGCATTGCAGGCAGCAGCTTTACCTGCTGTGTAGGGCACATGTTTTGATCTGTGAATTGGTCCATGTTGTCAATCTTGGCTCTCCTTTGTCCTAAGAGACCTCTTTTAATCATTTCTCCTTATTCCTCTGCCTTATTCTCATTACTCATGTACTTTCTCCCACCTCATCCATTAAAAATGCTCTTCTGGGGTGGGTATTTAGCTTAGTAGTTAAGATTCAGGTGCTTGTGACCTATGTCAGAGTAACTGAGTTTCATGCCCAGTTCTAGCTTTGGACTCCAGTTTGCTACTGATGTGCACCCTAGGAGGAAGTACACATGTCTCAACTATGGTTTCCTGTCCCGGTGTAGGAGACCTGGGTTGGATTCCTGGCTAAAATCACTGTGGACATTTGAGACACTTACCAGCAGATGGGAGCTCTCTTTCTGTCTGTCTTCCTGTCTTTCTGTTTGCCTCTTGAATAAATAAAAAGAAAATTCAAAGTCTTCTTCCTCTAGCATCCATCCCTTTCACAACTCACCTTTGTGACTGGCTTCATTCCCATTGTTCCACTGCAGCTGTCCCAATAGAAGTCACCAGCTGGGCCTGGGGCTGTGGCCTAGTGGCTAAAGTCCTCGCCTCATACGCGCTGGGATCTGATATGGGCACCGGTTCTTTTCCCAGCTGCACTGCTTCCCATCCAGCTCCCAGCTGGGAAAGCAGTTGAGGATGGCCCAAAGCCTTGGGACCCTGCACCCACTTGGGAGACCTGGAAGAAGCTCCTGGTTCCTGGTTCCTGATCGGCACATCTCTGGTCTTTGCTGCCACTTGGGGAGCGATTCATCGGATGGAAACTCTTCTTCTCTGTCTCTCCTCCTCTCTGTATATCTGACTTTGCAATAAAAAGAAAATAAATCTTAAAAAAAAAAAAAAGAAGTCACCAGCTGCAGTCATCCCTCAGGCTCAGTGGAGGATTGGTGCCAGGACCCCCTGTGAAGTCTGCCAGGCTCAAGTGCCTGCATAACATGGCATAGTGTTTGCACATAGCTTACATACATCCTCCTGTGTATTTTAAATCATGTCTAGATTGTTTATAATACTTAATAGTACACTGTAAGTGCCATGTATGATGTGGCTGTATTGCATTATTTGATGAATGAAGATAAGAAAAAAGTTTGTGTATGCTCAGTGCAGACACAGTTTTTTTCCCTGAGTATTTTCATTCTGAGGTTGGCTGAATCAGGATGCAGAAGTCCTGCAGATCTGAGAGCTGACTATAATTCCTTGCTGCTAAATTCACTGAATTTGTCTTAGTCTGTATTTCACTTAGTTCTTAAAGAATCATATTGACCTTGCTGATCATGTACAAACTTGAAAAAAAATCTTCTATGGGTACCGTGCTTTCCTGATTTCACCTTTTCTTCATGCTGTTCTTGGATTCATCTTCTGGTCACTTAAAAAAAAAAGATTTATTTATTTTTATTGGAAAGGCAGATTTACAGAGAAAGGGAGAGACAGAGAGAAAAGTCTTCTGTCTGTTGGTTCACTCTCCAGGTGGCCGCAACAACCAGAGGTGAACCTATCCGAAGCCAGGGGCCAGGAGCTTCCTCTGGGTCTCTCACGCAGGTACAGAGTCCCAAGGCTCTGGACTGTCCTCTGCTGCTTTCCCAGGCCACCAGCAGGGAGTTGGATGGGCATTGGATCAGCCTGTATGTGATCCTGGTGCATATAAGGTGAGAATTTTAGCCACTAAGCTACTGCCCCAGGCCCTGATCACTTCAATGCAAAGCTTACTCCTGGCTCCCCTAGATATAGCCATCTTCCTGCAATTCTTTTGCCTCTGAATGACAGAATTCAGACTCAGAACAGGCTAGGCAACCAACCCAACAAACAGCCCCCAGTGGCTAAAATGGCAACAAAAGAAATGTATTAATCCATGTACCTGAAAATCCAGAGGCAGATCTGGGCTAGCTGGCCCAGGAGCTTTCATCACAAACAGGCTCCCTCTGTCTCTTGGCTTTGTTTTTCTCTGTATTTATACTGTTCTCAGGCAGCCTGTTGCCAAGTGATGGCAAAATGCCTGCCAGTAACTCTAGGCATATACCCAACCCTCTTAGGAAACACAAGGACAATTTTCTACCCAATTTTCTTCTTTTTTAAAAAAAAAACTTTTTAATTTATTTACTTTGGAGACAGAGAGCAGATGGGAGAGAGAAAATGAGAGAGGGGGAGAGGGAGACGAAGGGAGAAAGAGGGGAGAGGGAAAAAGGGAGAGAAAAAAGGAAGGAGGGAGAGAGATAGAGGTTCTGCTTGTGCACTTTCCAAATGCCCACAGCAGCTGATGCTGGCTGGGACTGAAGCCAGGAGCTGGGGACTCAATCCAGGTCTCCCACGTGGGTGGCAGGCATCCAGTTGCTTGGCCTGATACCACTTGTTGGATCCTACATTGCACATTAGCAGGAAGCTGGAGGTAGGCATGGAGCAGGATACTGAACCCAGGCACTCTGATAGACAGGGCATGCTTTTAAACCTGTATCCCAACCATCAGGGCAAGTGCCCAGTGAGGTTAATTTTTTCCCCCAAATTTCATGTATTTATTAATCAGTATAATCAATAAATCAACTTGACTGCATGCATGTAGAGGAGAAATATTTCCTGGTTAAGTGGAAAATTGTGCAGTTGGTTTCAGGAAGACCTTCATTCTAAGCAGCTCTACAGTGACAAATTTCATTTAGAACTCTGGGCCTTCTTTATTCAGTTTGCTGCAATCCACATTCATTGAGTAGAACTTGTATTGATCACTGGGACCCAGTTCGTTCCAGGCATCTGAGTTATTCTTTCTGTCCCTGCTGACACCTGGATTGAACAATGCCTGATGCATGATATACAGTGCAGCTGCAGTGTCTCCTGCTCCAATAAATATGAAGAGGGGAACTCAGCTGGGGTGCTGCTTGGCCTAGCCGAGAACCTGGCCGAGCATCTTTGCAGCAGAAGCCTCAGGTCAAAGCTGGAAGGCCCAGGACTGTGCAGTCTCCTGAGAATTAATTTAAAACAGAATGATCTTCGTGTTTTTCTTAGATGTCCCTGCTTTATAAAGTTTTTCAGTGAATGTAATTACCCTCTCCCTGTGCGCTACATATTTGGACTTGTTATACATATATATTTATAATTTTTTAAAAAAGATTTTTTTTTATTGGAAAGTCAGATATACAGAGAGAAGGAGAGACAGAGAAGAAGATCTTCCGTCTGTTGATTCACTCCCCAAGTGGATGCAACAGCCGGAGCTGAGCTGATCCAAAGCCAGGAGCCAGGAGTCTCCTCCATGTCTCCCACGTGGGTGCAGTGTCCCAAGGCTTTGGGCCATCCTCAACTGCTTTCCCAGGTCACAAGCAGGGAGCTGGATGGGGAGCAGTGCCACCTGTATTAGAACCAGCACTCATATGGGATGCTGGCATGTACAAGGCCAGGACTTCAGCCACTAGGCCACTGCACTGGGCCCATATTTGTAATTCTGTTTCTGATCTAAATTTTAAGCTTCTGAAGGGAGGAAGTGAACCTATGGATTCCATTCCTCTTTTTTTTTTTCTTTTTAAGATTTATTTATTTTATTGGAAAGGCAGATGTACAGAGAGGAGAAGAGACAGAGAGGAAGATCTTTTGTTCGATGATTCACTCCCCAAGTGACTACAACGGTCGGTGCTGCACCAATCCGAAGCCAGGAGCCAGGAACTTCTTTCTGGGTCTTCCATGCGGGTGCAGGGTCCCAAGACTTTGGGCCATCTTCGATTACCTTCTCAGGCCACAAGCAGGGAGCTGAATGGGAAGTAGAACTGCCGGGATTAGAACCAGCACCCCATTCTTCTAATTCTTTCTGTAATGCTTTTGCAGTGTTATACATATATATAGTGATCATGGAGTTTTATTTTTCTAGCTGTTGGTTGGCATCTAGTCTTTGTCAATCCAGTTGAAAGTTCTACTTCCATCTTTCCTCTTTCTTCTATTTAAAAAATTATTTATACGGCCACAATGGCCATTCCAAAGCCAGGAGCCTGGAGCTTTTTCCAGATCTCCCATGTGGATCTAGAGACCCAAACACTTGGCCCATATTCTACTGTTTCCCCAGGTGCCTTAACAGGGAACTAGATAAGTGAAGTAGCCAATACTTTAACCAGTACCCATATGGGATACCAGTGCAACAGGCAGTGGCTTTCCATACTATTCCATGGAGCCAGTCCTTCCTTTGTTTTCCCCCTTATTTCAAAATCATTTTTCCTATGGAATGGGGAGAGAGAGAAAAAAAATGTCAGATACAAGTAAATGCTCAAACAGTCTTTTTAGGCTTGCCATGTATTTGTCATGGTGCTTGACACTAAAAATGAAGCTCAAAGGCAAGGGAAAGACAAGTTTAAAATATATTTAAAACAGATGTCTGTGCTTAAATTAAAAAATTCCAACTGCATCCCTTTGACCCAGAAAGGCTACTTTTAGAAAACTACCCTATGGAAGTAATTAAATACATGAAAAATATTTAGCTCTAACATGTTCGTTTCATATATACATGTAGTTCTCTTTATAATATATATAATAGAATACAATAGAAATAACCTAAAACTTTAACCATGGGGGCTTAACATTTAAATATAACGGGCTTCCTCTGTTCAAAATGCCAAATTTCCTGTCATAGACATTGATGATTCACAAATCAAAAAACACAAGCTCTAATTAGCACAAGTTTTGTTTTGTCAGAGTATACTGTGGTGGTAAAGTTAAGGTTTTTTTTTTTCTTTTTTTTAAGCTTTTCTATAGTGAACTTTGATAAGTTACTTATAACTTAAAATATGGTAAACTTTGATAAGTTACCTCTAAATCAAAAATGATTCCAAGCATAATAACTTTATATTAATATCATTGCTTTTCTGTGGCTTATTTTTTTCAGAAGTGATTTTTGTTTGTAAATAAATGTCAATAAATAAGATTTTGGAACATGCAACATGTTTGTTTCTTTGATTTTTTTTTCTATGATACCATTTTTTTTCCTACTAGACACAATGGAATCCAAAGTGGTATCTATGTTAGTTTGGAGTCTTGTGAGGTAAGAACAGGTAACTTGGGTTTTGTTCTAGTTAACTTACCAAATCTCTTTATAACCTTAGCATACTTATTTTTCATCTCTTTGTCCAGTAGTTCTGTCTGTTAAATACGAAGAATTCCCTCCCTAGTGCTACCGCAGCAGAGGTAAGGAATGCATCAGTAGGCCCTTGTCATCCAGCCGTGGTAACCTTGCGGCAGCCTTTTGACTGTAGCTACTATGTACCGTTCACTCAATTGTCAGGTATGAGCCTTCAGTTACTACAACAAGTATTCTGAAAACTGACAACCTACATTCAAATTCTGGCTCTATTGTTTGTGAAGTGGGGAAAATGAGTTAATTTCTGTGAACCTCATTTATTAAATGAATGCTTAGAGACATTGTTGAATGTAACAATAAGATTTAAAATGTGTAATGCCCAGGACATAGTAAGTACAATAAATAGTGATCCTGAAGTGCCTACTGTGGTATGAATGTTCAAGTGTGCTATGGTTTGCGCATGGTATGATCACCCACAGGTTCATGTTTTCGGAATTAGGCCCTGGTATGAATCTGAGGTGGTGGAATCTTTGAGAGGTGGAATTGTCTTAAGGAGTGAATTTTTTTAAAGAGTTCGTCATTGTAAGGGTCACATCATTGGTCCCTTCCTGTGCAGTCAATTCTCTTTCTGCCTCCACCTTGTTACGATGTAGACAGTGGTCCCCATGGAATGCTGGTGGGGCCATGTCCTTGGACCTTTGGCCTCAAGAGCTAAATAAATGTCTTTTCTTTACAAAGTACTCACCCCAGGGGCTTTGTTGCAGCAAACCGAAACAGACTAGGACAAACTCTGTTCATCCTGTAGACATTTGTTGAGTGCTTAGTCTGGGTGACATAGTATTCAAGGCCCCCGGGTTACTTCAGTGAAAAAAACATATTTGTCAGGATCACATCTGGCAGATAACAAAGATTATGTAACGTGTGGACGCATTGGTAGCTGTTGGTCGTAAGAATTGTTATTAGCTTAATACTTATTGTATACTAGCTGCTGGACCAGGCCATTTAATTTTTACATGTAATCCTTCATACGTAATCTTATTTTCTCTGTTAGTAGGGATTATGGTTATTTGATAGCATGGCAACCAGGCATCTGAGAGGTAACCTAAATTAAAAAAAAAATGGGTGCAGAGTATAAGAATATATAACCTATAGGTGTGAGAGTGACACTCCTGGATTTGATTGTTGTGTTCCGCCTTTGTTTATACTGCTGAGGAATAGTAGGTTTTTATTTTTTGTTAGCTCCTTTCCTATTTTTTTATTATTGTTTTCTTCTTGCCATTTGTTGATATCATTACCTAATGGAGTATTAAACGTGAAAATATATATCTATATAAGAGAATAAATAAATAAATAATAAATAAATGATAATATATATACTGGAATAAATAAATAAACAAATAAACGGGACGGGTGTTGTGGTACTGCATGTTAAGCTACTACTTGCAACGCCAGTGTCCTATCAGAGTATGAATTACCAGTTCAGCCTCTACTTGTGATGCAATTCCCTGATAATGACACCTGGGAAGGCAGTAGAAGATGGCTTAAGTGCTTAAGCTCCTGCCATCTGTGTAAGAGACCAGAATGAAGATTTTGGCTACTGGCTTCCAACGGGCTTAACTGATGCAGTTATAGGTATTTAGGGGAATGAAACAATAGGTGGAAGATTTCTCTTTCTGCCTCTCCCACTTCGCCTCTCTCTCTGTCATTCTTCCTTTTAAATGAATAAATATGGGTCAGCACAGAGGCTCAACTAGCTAATCCTCCACCTTCAAGAGCAAGCATCCCATATAGGCACTGATTCATGTCCTGGCTGCTCCAGTTCCAATCTAGCTCCATGCTTGTGGCTTGGGTGAGCAGTAGAAGATGGCCAAAGCTTTGGGCCCTGCACTCAGGTGGGAAACTTGGAGAAGCTTCTGTTTATGGATCTGCTCCATTGCTGCCATTAGGGATTGAACCAGTGAATGGAAGATCTTCCTCTCTGTCTCCTTCTCTCTCTGTAAATCTGTCTGTCCAATAGAAAGAATTAAATCTTTCAAAACATAATGTGTAAATCAATACTTACTAAAATAAATGTAAATAAATGAGCTAGTTATTCAAACCCGGGTTGTCTGACCCAACAACTCAGGCCTCACCACTGTACTTTCCTTCCTTTGCTTCCTTTTATGATTTTTTAAAATTGCGTAAATTTAATTTTTGATAATTTTTACATATTTGATTAGGGCACGAATGGTCAAGAGCTAGAAGAAAATGGGTGAGACCAGTGTTTATACATTCCCTTTTTTCCCTCCTGAATCTGGAGGTGGGAAGAGGAGAGACAACGGGAGAAGCCACACTCACCCTCCCAACCATCCCAGGGTCCCCAAAGTGGGGCATGCTCCCAGGGCACTGCTCAAGTGGTTTTGATAGTTTAACTGTTCTGAATTGCAGCAGATCTTGCCACTCCAGTCACAATGAAATCTCTCCAGACTCCACTGGCTGACATAGCTCACCTTAGAGTCTCCACTCGCTCAGGTATTCACTGCCAATTCTTGGCTGGGTAGTTGCTGTATTTGTTCTGTCCTCCATCCTCTGTTATGGTACAGGTGTCCTCTGCTGGTTCCAGTGTACTGCCATATTCTCCATGTGCATCTGGATATGCTGTCTATTGCTCCATGTAAGCTACTGAGGAGGCCCAGCTCTGACCTAAGCATTCCACAGTCAGACCACAGAACCTGCAATTTCCTCCAGGGTTGGAGTTCAGAATCCAGTGGTTCCGTTGGGTTAATTCCCAAAGAAATTTCATCTGAGGTGATCCCAGACCTGATTCTTTTTTTTTTTTTTTAAAGATTTATTTTTATTATTGGAAAGGTGGA